CCCCCCTTTGCCCTTCTACTCAAGGTTTTTCCAAAAACCAAAACAACAAAACAGCAGCAACAGCAGTAGACACTGTTACGCCAGCACTATTTTGAGCAACGTGCAGCACTTTCGCCACCGGCAAAACTTAAGGGTATGTTTCTACTTTCTTTGGCGGGCGTTTCACACCCCTTTATTTCATTGTATGTACTTGTTGGATAAAATAAAAACAATAAGTAAAGTGTGGCACTATACCCTGTAGGTTTTAGGCATGGGGGGTAACACAGTTGGCAGTAAGTGGAAATACAGTTGCACACTATCGCTGCAGGAGTTTTTGGTCGTTACACTAAATCATTTTAAATGGTTTCGCTGCTTTTGGGGTTCCTTGATGTCGTGCCATATCCTGTCTTAACATTCAAAGAACGGTAATATTCCACAAGTAAATTGTAAATCGTAGTCGTAAGGGGAGTACTTGCCGCTTGAGCAAAGGTTTGACTTGAGTAAATACATAGACATGCAGGCGTTTTGGTAATTTGCGTGTGGCAGTTGGCAAGAGGTTACTACGTCTCTGATCTGATGTGGTGTGGTGGTAGGTTTTTTTTTGTTAATAAACACAAAATTGTTGTTTTTGGTATTGTTGGTGAGGTGATGGTGCTAGTTCAAGTTTGTTCCGGTTTTCCCTTCTTTTTGTAGATAAAAAATTATATTTTTCTGTTATAATAACAATTTATATATATCAAAGTTGTCTGGGTTTTACCCAATTTTTTTTTTTTCATTTTTTTCTTGTTGGAAGTGCAATTTTCTTACTTTATTATTGTTGTTGTTATTGTTGATGGCGAAGGGTGCTTTCCTTATAAGGTATAAGGCCGATATAAAGTGTGGCTTATTTTTATTCATATGTAGTTATATAGTCACACATACATAAAATTTTGGTGATTCCTAAAATCGATTTTTTCGAGTATAAAAAGCAGGGTACTTATAAAAATTCATCAGTTATTTTTAAGGTCATTTATTTTTCTATTTCGACACCTTGTGTTAAATTTCGAACCCTGCATAATACATAACTGAGATTAATTAAAACAATTAAACAAATTTTTTATAAATATTATAATATTATAATTTTATAGATTAATATTGTAACATGTTTAATATCTAAGGCCGAGTACGAGTTGATCTAATTTGCATTTTAATTAAGGGAAATTCTAAATTGTGCCGATAATGTAGTGAAATGTTGGTATTTAGGACGTGTGCGAGTTAGACTAAGTTGCGATAAATGGCTAAAGGTGTGCAGTGTAAAAAATCCCAAAAAATCTTCCATTTGGTTTAGCATCAACTTAGCCTAACTCGCACACGTCCTTAGAATATCAACGTGACTAAATCGAGCCTAATTAGAAAAATGCAACTCGCACACTTTTTTCAACTTTGTTGCTAAATGTGTGCACTACAAAAAATTACACGCAAAATTGCATTTAGTTTAGCATGAAATTAGAACAACTCGCACACGCCCTAAAAACTCCGAAAAAATGTTGTCGAGCAACTAATATAAATGGAGTAGTCTTGATCAGTTATGATTGTAAGATAACAAAGTATATAATGTGCAACCATACAACGCTTGAGTTAGTCAAAACAACAAAGATGATAAGTCAGACACATGTCGTTAATAATGAGAGTACTCTACTAGTGTTAATCTTATTTTGCATAATTTAGTTATAAGAATGAAATTTATGTTCCATATACAAAAAGTTTTTAAAAGTGTGTTCTTAAGTGGAATAAAATTCTACCTAATTCAAATATTAATTATTTCGTAATACTCTTCATATCTCAATATTTGTCGATGAAGTAAAAATGAAAATGTATATCATAAAAGGTACATTCACTTCTTTAGAATTGAGTTCACCTCTAATTTGTTTTTTTTTTAATTATTATAAATTCAGTAATGTACTGAATAGTATATTGAATACACGGATTTGTCAAATTAGATTTAAAAAAATCTTGTTGCAGGTATTTAACCAAATGCAAAAAAAAAAGCTATAAATAAATGTAACTAAAATATTTTTGGTTTCAATATCTTCTCCAGTACAGTATAAATATGATATAGTATGCAAATAATATGCATAAAAAAGCGTTATTTATGACCGTGTGCAAGTTCGAGTAAATTGAGGTAAAGTAAATTAAAATTTCCTAGGCATTTTTTGCATTGCACTTATGTAAATATTTATTTATTTATTTATTTATTGCACTTATTTATTATTTTTAGTTTTCAAATTTATTTATTTATTTAATAAACATATAAAATTTTCACAATGGTAATACCTAATTTACCTAATTTTTATCTAATTTAACCTACTTGAAATTCTGGTAAATACCAACATTCGCTGCCATACCGACATAATTTACTATTTCCTTCAATTTACCATAAATTTACTCGAACTCGCACACGGCCTATATGAATTAAATACGTTACGAAGAGTCTATGTTTCATATCTTATTAATTTACCTACATTTCTTAATAAAAACTATAAATTTGAAAAAATGTTGCGAAAAAACACTGTATTATACACAAATAAATTGAATCATTTTTTAGTCTTAATCCACAAAAAAAAAAATAAACATTTTAATTTTTTTCTACTTTTCAATAGCCTTTAAATCACTTCTAAAAACGCAAGTCCAATTATTTCCTATTTTGCTCTATAAATTTAAAAATTAGGGCAAAAATTTAGGTCTAGGTCATTTAATACTATCTCTTTGCGATAATCAATTACAATTTTTCTTTAAAAAAAAAAGAAAATAAAAATTAATTATCGTAAAATGCAATCAAACTAAATTAACACAAATTAAAACATTTATTCTAGTAAACATCAAAAGAAGAAATTAAAGCTTAATTCGAAAATCACTGTTGTTACACAGTGTTGTTGCTATTGTTAACAGTATTGTTGTTGTTTTTATAACTGCTGCTTTTAATGTTCCATCGCATATTATTATGACCAAACGATTAAGATAAGCAACAACAGCAATTGACATGCGAATCGCGTTTGACGATTAACAGCAACAACAATAAGAAGAGCAGCGGCAAGAGCGACAATAACGACAGACAAAGTTTATTACCCGACAGTAATAACAATTACAACGATGGCTTGTAATAAAGTACAACAATACCAACATCACGAAGAATATTTTAACAATGGGGCAATATGTATGAATTTATCATAACAACAAAAACCACAAAGGGAGCTTGCCAACACTATTGCACGTCTATTGCTACTTTATGTGCTTTACAACAAATACAATAACAAAAACAACACCAACACAACGCAGCAGTCACATGCATAATCCAAATAGCTTTTTACAACCCCAAATTTACACATTTGCCCCTTTATTCGCCTTGTCGGCAATGAATTTTTGTTTGTGTAATACGTGTGCACATAAAGCTTATGCATTTAATTTCATTTTTTTTTTATTTCTGTTATGACTTTTTGTTTTTGTTGCTTTTTATTTATTTTTTACTCGTTTTGCAATGAAGCAAAGGCATTGCGTTATTTAAGTTTATTAACCAAAAATTATAGAGTTTATGTACATTTATCATTAGACTTATATGGATTCGTGAATATTGTAATTCATTTTTAAAAATCTTATATAAATGTTATAATAAAAAAATTGCTGCTTTACTCAATTATATATATTTTTTTGTTACTTAAAGAAAATGCAAATCAAAAATATTTCTTTCCAGTAATATGTGTAATTGAGCTATAAATCTGTCTAATTATGTGCCTGTATTTTCTTGCCATAAAATTATTTACGAGCCGTCCCCCTTGCTGCTCCTTTTGTTAAAGCAAAGCTATTTAACATATCTCCCTCCATTCAAAGTTCAAATTTATTGAGTTTTCTTCTTTAATTATTTACATTATTTATAAACAAATTTTTAATTTCTATTAACCTGCCATAAAGTGAAGTTTCTGTTAATATCTACATGATACAGCACAACATCTTTATACTGTATTTGTACAATATTTATTCGTTTACATATCTCTTTAATTGATTACAAATATTTTTGTCTGCTTCTTGCCCTTTCCCTGCTCCCAACATTAACAGCATCAGTCTCTGTCTGTGTGCATTAAATTTCATTGATTTTGTTTCTTTCACTTTAGACACGATTGCAACCGTTGCAGAGCTTATAGTCAATCGTAATGTGAAGCCACGTTACATTGCATGCCACACCACATAAAACTCGCCACTTCATAATTCAGCATATTCACATTAGAATTTGTCGAGTGGTGATGTGAAAATGAAAACTCCAATGTGATTTGGTTCTGTTGCTTGGTTTGGTTTCAATTATTTGAACCTCACACCTTGTGTGAGAGAGCGAGCTACCTTCTTTGCATATTACCTGAACTCGTTGGGGCTAGCAATTGGATGCAATTGTTTGCATGTGTATACTCATATGTGCTTTTGATATTTGTATAGAAACTGGAGCGTATGTGTTAAATGCTTAAATAAACAAACTGCTTAAATGCCTGTCATACCTTCCCTAACCCAATCTATGCCCAACATCAACATCTATGGACTGAATTATATATTTGAATCATTTTTTTTTTTTTATTTTTTTTTTATTTTCACGCTCATGGATTCATGTATGTTATGCTGCTTCAGTTGATTTGGATTGCAATGCAGAGAATTTCATAGGAAATCTTTGAAATTCTTGTTAAGTGCTCCTGTATGCAGTGGCATTTCATGGAAAATTCAACTCCATTTCACTCCACTGCTCTTATTGCTATTCTACAAAGTTTTCTTTTCATATTTTTCATTTTATAATCTACATATTTTGATATTTGTTTAGCACTTAAAGTGAATATTATGAATCTAGTTAGAAAATATTTTCAGTAGAAAAAGAAAAATACCTTAAAATGTTTCACACATTACTACTCGTATATTTGTAAATTAATTGAATCTACTATGTGCTTGTTAGCAATAAAAAAATTTTATAACAATTTACATTTGTTTTTTTTTAATTTATTTCAGAAATGGTACTTCGATACTGTGAATCATCCTCTGTTGGTACATGCTGTACATATGCAATGGAAACAAAGATGGCTATGCAATCACGTCTGCACCTGGAAAAACACTCCAAAGAACAAATTTTAAAAATGTCAAACATGCTAAGTTCTAAAGCGCAAAAATTTAATGGTAAGTTTCAGAGCAAATAAAGTATAAACATAGAATCACTTTCTCAGAACATTCAAAATGGGTCTAAAAAATAGAACAAATAAAGACAGAATAATCAAAAAAAAAAAAGGACGACTTATGTGTTTACGAGTACATTGCATATCTTTATAAATCCTAAAAACAGTTATTATGCGGAGTTAATTTAAACTTTAAAAAAAAGACCAAACCTGCTTCTTATTTTTATTATCTTTTTCTTCAGTTCATTGAACATAAAGATATTTTAGCTGAAACTTGCGTTTAGATTGTGGGTTAGAATATGAAACTCTAAAATTTTCAAGATTCCTTGTATTTAAAAATATTACTTAATATTATAATGTTAAATTTCTTATAGTTTTAAGTCGTAATTTTAAATTATTACGAACGTATCATACACTATATACTATAAACGCTATATATATAAACACTATATACTAGATAAAAACTAAAGCAGGTCTTCTTAAGTTTGGTAAAAAAGTTTTAGATATTAATACACAATATTCTCTTCTTAGTGCCTGTTTTCCCTAGTGTGGCATATGGCCACAATATACAATATAAGTAAACTAAATCATGAGCTTACCTAACTTCTAGTATTAAAACTGCTATAAATTTCAAATTTTGACTTTAATAAAAATGAAGTGATTGAAGTTCAATCAATAATAGCAAATCAAAGCAGATTGAAGGAAGACAAAAAGAATATTGTGAAATTTTTCCTTCAAAGTTTGTATGCTGTTGATATTGGATTCGATAATCAACCAACGAGACACGATTTTACTAGTATTATGGTGATTTTGACAAGTCTAACCCCAAATTTAGAAATTGATGGATCTGTAAATTGACTGTAGTATTGACCTAATTTCCTTGTGGCATATACGTATATCACAGACAAAAATAATAAATTTCGAACACTTTCCTAATATTTTATTTAAACCAGGGCTGTCCAAAGCATGACCCACGGGCGACATGCCGCCCTTGATATGTTTCTAATCTACTAGAATTACGCAAATTTTCCCTTGATATGGTGTCCCAAAAAAATGAATTCAAATGAATAAATTAATAAAATTAAATTTAACATTATTACAGTATTTGAACTTGTTTCTGCGGCCCGCCAATCTACACTGTGACTCGTATTGGCCCGCGATCGCATCTGTTCTGGGCAGCCCTGATTTAAACTATTTAAATACTATGCAATGCAACAGTAACAGTATTGAAGAAATATTAAATATTTATATCTGTAAAATGTATGATATAGACATATGTATATAAAATCTACTAAATTTAAAACCCTGTTTTCTACATTTTTCCCCCTTTCCCAATTGGTCTTTAAAAGACTTTTGTAAATAAAATACTCTAATAAAATAATGTACTAACCTTAATTGAAACAGAAATCATTGTTCTTCTATCACATCAGCAATTAACTGAAACTATTTGGTCTGCTATTTTCATATACTACATACAATATAAATTAAAGACCAGCATTTTGAACATGATCAGCGCACACGATCAGCTCATGCTTCAAATAGATCAACACCCACTTGAAGTCTAACGTATTAGTCTAACGAGTAAAAATCAGTGATGCGTTCCCTATTTTCTAAGACGAACATTGTAATATGTCACTTGACGCTGACACAGTGGCAACATTTGTGACACCACAAGTGGTCGCTGGCTGATATATTAAGCGGCGCATGCGGACGCATGCGGGCGCTTGTTTGCTTGCTTGCTTGCTTGTTAATTTTATTAAACGTGGTTGCGTCGTCTCAAGTGGATGCGCACAGTCACGCATATACGTACTCGCGGATGTTCAGATTCATTTCCTTTTCGTTAAATTTTTTTATAATTTTTATTTAAACAATTTATGATGCACTTCTCTCGAGACCTACATGATGGATGGCATTTTACAAATGCAGCAGATGCCGGCGGAAACCACGAACTCACACGCAGTTACGGACGCATGCGCAAAATCAAATGTGACATTAATTTGTATCTTGAGAAGACGACATGACATCTTCTGACAGTTTTTGTAATAATATCAAAATATTTCACTTTAATCGACTTCATCTTAAATTACTCCACATTTTACATTCAAGTAACATTGGTATTTCCTTTTATACCTTTTCAGAGGACTTCCGTAAATTGTTACTCAAATCAAAAGTAGAATTTCACAATATGTACACACGCACTTATGGAATTATTTATCAACAGAACTCATATGTATTTTCGGATTTATTCAAAGAATTGGAAAACTATTATGCACGCGGACGCGTCGATCTCATTGATGTCATGGATAAGTTCTTTAATACGTTGTACCAAAAAATGTTCCAGGTACTTAATGCACAGCATCAATTCGATGAGAAGTAAGTTGAAACAATTTAAATAATAAAAATTTAACTTAATTTTTAAAATAAGTATATAAGTATATTGACTTTAAGATTAATAATTATTTATTGGCATTAATTTTTTAAAATGATTTTGTTTTATTTTATAATATGTTACACTAACATATTTTATGGTCTTATCATTTTTATATATTAGTTTTTTACCATTTCTGTACAGGCCATATAAAATGTTCAGAATTCATATTTATACTAATTATATACAAAAATATACATACAATATATGTATTGTATTGTTTTTTATTCACAACAATTTTTTATGTATTGATTTATTGGTAATATTATAAATATAAATTAAAGAGGTAAACTACCACAACAAAGATTCTTTTATATTATTTTAATTTATTAAATTTTTAGCTGACCATACAGCTGTTTCGAGTATTGATAAATATCTATCATCAGTGTTCTTGGAAATAATTCTTGTATTTAATTATTCATAAATAATTTTATGAGACTGCAAGTACCAGGAATTGAATTCGTGCCCTGCCAAATTTAAAGCTCAGAGTCAGCGTTCATTAGCCAACTAACCCAAAGACGTACTTGACTTTTATGTTCGCAAATTTTTCAGGAGTTTTGTTAATTTGCTGTGTATTAAACTCTTAATCAACAAAATTGTAAACGATTAAATTTTAAATGATAGTCATATAAAAAGGATAGTCGAGAAAAAATCGAGAAAAATGTTTTTTGTATTGGCAGTATGTTGATGACCAAAAAGCCTCATATTGGTATTTTTAACTACTACTCATCTATGAACTAAAGTGGGTTTGTCATAATAATCCTCAAAGAGTGCAGTGACGTGTTGACAAATCTAATTGACTTCTTGGTTAATATATATATATTTTTCATATATAATTTCATTTATAATATATGTTATACAAAATCCTTTTATTGTTTTTAAATCTCGCGGAGATATGCAAATATGAGGTCAATTATTGCTTAGTCTGATGAAGTGATAAACAATAATCCAGTCAAGGCGTAAAGAGGGGTAAAGAGAGGTGAAGAAATCTCGTAGTTAATAGAGAGTAAAAGTGCTCAATTAATTAATTAAAAATAATAATAAAATATTTTTCCATTATTTAGTTTCTTATAATGAATAAAGTGTTTGTGTTGCTGTAAAGCTAGACTTTCTTTGTATAGTGACAAAGAAGCTTTATTAAAATTTAGAGGGGTTTTTGAATAGCAAAGAAAGAAATAAAGGACAAACACAAAAATTTTAATTTTATTGAAGTTTGGCTGACCATACAACGCTGTTTCGAGTATTGCCAAGTACTCTTCATCAGTCGTCTTTGGAATAATCGAATTTTTATTTAATTAGTTTATAGTCCGTATAATGTTAATAATATTATACTAACATATCAACTAATGAGTTTAAGTAAAATATTGCATATATAAAAACTGAAATTGGAACCCAAACATTTGTATGTTTCCATGGCTATAAAGTCACTCCATGTACTTTGTTGTAAAAGTAATAACATTTCTAACATGAAACTTTTTTTAAACTCATTCTATATATCATTGCCTTCACATGGTCTTTAATTTAAAATAAATCTGTTCGTTCATACTTCGCTAATTGCTCATTTACGTTTGCTGACTACAGAAGTGGAAAACGTGTGCGTAAAAATCCTTCTTAACCTTAAGTCCAACAGCCAACAAAGGTTCGCACTAACGACTCACTTCCAGCGCAGCACATAAATGGCACAGCCCAGCCAAAGTATTTAATGTTGTTGCCGCTTAAGACTTAATGTTGTTAGCTTAATAGTAACAAAAACAGCGACAATTGCCACATTACAAAAATCTCGTAAAAAATCAGTCAACAACAACTGCAACAACTACAACAACTACAACAGCTACAAGAGTAACAAGAGCTTTGTGAAGCATGCCCGACACGTAGCAGGCAGCGAACGTTTACGGCGGTTTCAAGTGGTGGCACTTGTAAGTCTGCAACACTTTGGAACTATAAAGGTGCACACTTGACTGAGCGCCTTAGTTACGCTTAGACCAACCAACAGCGGAGAATCATTGAGGGCAACAGCTGTACTGCAGTTGCTGCTGCTGTTGCATACAATTTGCTATTGACCATAACAACTGCCTTTGGATCTCAACTAACAACAAAAGATTTTCTATGCCAATTTATTTTAATTCTTCCGCTTTTGATTGGTGTAAGCTGCCTAAGTTCCCGTCTCCAACATGCGTGCGTTTGTACTTCATTTTGTGAGTGTTAAACTGTCAACAGTGACTTGAATTCCTTTTGGAGTCATTTTTTGTTAAATTTTTTCTTTTTTCGTGCTTATTAAAGGAAAATGGTAACATCAATTCGACATTATGGCGCCCACTTTTCCCTGCTCTCGAGCTGCGTGCTTGTAATACGAGACTGGTTACGCCTTAGTCGCCTTTTAAATGTTTTGATTTTTAGTGATTTTCTGTTTAAGTAGAAATTTAAGAAGTTCACTGTTAGCACTTGGCCAAGCTCACAGCAAACTACGAACGTAACTGACACCACCACCGAGCGTCTCCTCTTTCAGCAGTTATGGTCAAAGTGCTCCTTCGCTCAGGCGTTCTGCTTGTATGTTCATTTGTTGGCATTTTGTCTTTCTTTTTTTGTTGATGTTGTAATTGTTTTGACCACATACGAATGAACACTTTGTTCAACTTTGTTTGGTGTACCTTACAGCCAGGTTAATGTACTCTATAAACAACAACAACAACAACAATAGCAGCAGAGCAAAACACTCTGCTTTGGGACCTCATATCACAGTTTATGGCTCACACTCATGAAATTGGATCATTTTAAAAAAACGTAAACGTACGCGCTTTGCGGTTTTATGGATTTGTGCGTTTTTAAAGATTTTTGTAAGATTTTGTTAAACCAAATAAAGAAAAAATAACTTTTTTTTAACAAAAACCATTGGTTTCCTAAAGTATGTGGCCATAAAACCAAACAATTGTAAAACTGTCAGTCAATGAAATTGATACCTTGAAATCGTGGTATTTTAACACTAAATTTGCTACTGCTAACAATGGAAGGAAGATTCTTGTTTCCTTCCTTGAGGTGGCCAGATTTTGTTGGAATGCAGCCACTTTTGAATTTCCATAACCATATATCAAGCTTTTATATGTTAAATATTATATATATAATATCCACTTTATCAGTTTTGGATTTTTTTCAAATTTATATTATATATATGGCTTCTTAACTATATTAGAATGACAGATCGATTTGACCTATAGTTTTGTCAAATCAGTTTTCGTCTATTTTTTCTATTTTCTATTTTCTTTATAAACTATTATTAATTTTGTTGTATGGATATCGATAAAAAAATGACAATTAAATTCAATGATAAATTCTAATCGGTCCATACAAAATGCTCTTTGTCTCTATTTTCTTATTGTGTGCTATTAAAGTTCGAGATTAAAACTGTAATCAAATATAGCACGATTTTTATGCCCACTGAAAGGTTAATTCTGTTGCATATTGTCTAATTTTATTTACTGTGCTATTAATAAAATATATTATTAAAGTTAATAATTATTCCACATTTATCTTAAACTTAAGTTTGGTTAGATTGGAATGGCGGCTTTGTACCAAAAGTCTACTTGAGCTCGATTAATGGCTAGTTGTGATACCACGAATTAGCATTGTTTAAAGCATAGGAATATAGGCCATATTTTGTAAACATATGTCTAATTTTTGTCATTTTAACACTTATATTATTAAATATTTTTCTAAAATTCAAGAATTAAAAAAAATTTTATAAAAAACAAAAATTTTTGTATACAACATTCCTATTCTGATTGCTATAATATTAATAAAATTTAATGAACCTAGGGCGGAGGACCCATGTTCCAGTTCTTATTCTAGTTAACTTTAAAATTATTTTAGTGTTACGTCACTCATAATTAAATTAATAAAATTAATAAACCATATAATAAAAAATATTATACAGTATTTATTAACTTTCTAAAGACTTAAAATTGTATATAGAGTAACAATTGACATCAATGATACGCTACCTAAAGGCTATATAATATATATATATAGTATATATAATATATAATAATATATAATATTTATAATTGTAATTATTTATAATTATTTATACTTTATAATTGTATAAAGAGTAATATTTACATCAATGATAGTGTATAATATATAGTGTATAATATATAATATAATAGTGTATATTAATATATATACAATAATAATAATATAATAATAATAATATAATAATAATATATAATAATATAATCTATATCATTTTCTCTTGGTTATGTTATAATTTATTTTTAAAATTAATTAGTTCGTTTTTTTATTTTGAAAAAAAGAGTTTAGACCACTGGACTATTATTTTAATTTTTCTATTTTATTTTATTTGTAATTGTTATTGTTATTACTATTAAGATAATGCCTAAAATAAAACGTAGACCAACAAAGAAATAGATCATAATCTATAAAAATATCTTTTTAAATATGCCTTTTGCCTTACAGAATATTCAATCTATACTACTCATTTACAGATATCTCCGCTGCGTCAGTGAACACATGAAGGAACTCAAACCTTTCGGTGATGTACCAGATAAATTATCTGTTCAAATCAAACGTTCTTTTGTCGCTACCCGTACATATGGACAAGCACTTGCAACTGCAGCCGAAGTATCAAAAAAATTAATTAATGTAAGTGTAAGAAATATTTTTAATAATTTACAATTAATTAATCTATAAACAAATATCTAATAAAATGAAGGTACGTCTAAATGCCGATTGTACAGCTGCACTCACAAAAATGGCACATTGCGGAGCTTGCAAAGGTTACGCAGAAAAGCCCTGTACCAATTATTGTGTCAACGTGATCAAAGGTTGCCTGCACTACTTCAATGAGTTCGACGTCGAATGGGAGAACTTTGCATTGGCAATGGATAAACTAGCCGAACGATTGCTGGGTTCATTCAATATTGTGATGGTTGTGGAACCGATAAACATTAAAATTTCAGAGGCGATTATGAATTTTCAAGTGAGTAAAAATCTTCTTGTGTTGATTGTAACATTTTGCTTTTATTAGAATTTTAAATTATTTATTATAAAAATTGTTTTTTAATTAAAACTTTTCGTCTATGTAAATTAAATTTTAAATATATGCAAATATAACATTCATTCATTAAAAAATATACCATACTCATATGTATGTATATTCATAGTCCGCCGTTTATAACATTAAAAGTGTATGATACGATGATGTTATAAAAACTGAAACAAATTAAAAACCTGAATAATAATTTTGTTAGAAATAAAAACATAAACCAGTCATGTCATAAATTGTAAACATCTCAGTTTTGTTATTTTTAACTCTGAGAGTTTTCAATGAATTTTGTTAATGTTTTATGCGGTTATAAGCTAATTGAATAACAGAATAAATCATTTAAAACCAAATAGGTGAAAATAATAAAAAACTATATATATAATTGTATATATAAACATATGTATGTATATATTGTATTATTTAAAACTAAAAATCAGGAAATTAATTTGTGCGGTGTTAGTTACTGCATATAATTACATACATACATAAATATATATGCATATATATATATATATATATATAAATATACATATATATATAATAGTTTCTCTTTTATAATAAAATTATAAAATAAAATATATATATTGCGTGGGGCAAAAAGCACTCTAAATTTTTTTATTCAAAATCAACTATCTGAATTATTTTATTTAAAAACAATTTTATTAATTCAAATATTTTTCCTTTTTGGTACAGCTATTATTCCTCTATTCTTAAATTCTTAGAATTTTTCTACACCCATGGATCTAACTTTGGTTTACAGATAGGCTGTCCGATTTAACCTAACCTATATCAACTATTTGTTAAATCGTTAGTAAAACACACTCCAAAACAAAACAAAGTTTCTTATAAAAAATGCGTATAATGTTGTCTCATATAGCCAGCCTGGCCGATCTACCTAACCTATATCAACTGTTTGTTAAGTCTTTAAGTTCAAACAAACCAAGTTTCTTATAAAAAAAAAAATTGCGTATAATGTTGTACAGCCTGCCTGGCCGATCTAACCTAACCTATATCATATAACCTATATGTGTTAAATCTTTTGTAAACCACAGTCCAAGGAAACCAAGTTTCTTATAAAACAAATGTGTATAATGTTGTCTCATTCATTGTTTATTTGATGTCTCACTCTGATTGTGTTTTTATCACGAAAATTAAAGTAGAGGTTACATACTCTATTTTCTTCTAACAAGAAAGTGTTGCAGAAATCGACACAAATAATAAATTGACGGTATAAAATTAGGATTTTATGATGGACTGCATCAAAACTATGCAGTCAATGTTTAAAATATATTTTTAGTCGCGAAAGATATGTACATTTATCCTAACACTGTCATAATGAACCACAACACACTGATAAATCAATCTCTTCAAGTCTATAGTTTTTAATATATATCAATCGGCACATTGATATAACCAATGTGCCGAAGTCATTAGAATCGTTGTGGCTCGTTTATAGTTAGGGGATTACATTTAGGTATTTATGAACTAAAATGCTTATCGCTTTATGTGCACAGAATACTATTTTCTGGTTATAAATATGCAGTAGTGTCAGGTCCTACTTTACACTAACTCAAATATTGCTTTTCGGAAAGCCTAGGTTTAAAAATGTCCCATCCATGATTCTCATTATAATAAAGATATATTGAAATTTATAAAAGCTTCTCGCGGTTTTATAAATAGTAACAGGTTATGGGTCCTTTTTAGTTATAACTCTTCGTTCTATATTCTTTCGTTTTATAAATAGTGATTTATATTTTTTGTGATTTATATATCACTGCTGTGACAACCTAACCTTATTTTTAAGAAGTTTTACTATATAGATTCCTCAAACAACAATATCTTACTTCAGATTACTCGGGGATTGTTTTCAAATATTATTAGTCTTAATTTATAGCATATCTTTTAATTTAAAAATAAATCCGGAAATCTACAACTTATATTATAATATAGGTATATTAAACTGTTTTCTTCGTTTACTTATTTAATGCTTCAATAAAATAATACAAAGGTTTAATAAACTATTAATCTTTTCTTTATATGACAACCTATCAATTAATGATATTATAAAAAATTATATTAAAAATCTATGCAATATTTGATAATTAAATAATAAATGATTAAAAAAAGCAAATACTTAAAAATATCAAACTAGGGTACACGACTCGTACATATAGAATATATAATAATAATCATTACAATATAAACTATTTTTTGTTTCTTCTTTGTTATCTTTTCTTCTGTTCGGTTAGGGTCTGTTGTACCACAAAAGATCAATCATGGTCGCAGTGCTCCGGTCCGTTGAGAGCTAGTACCCCGTTTATTCCTATTCCTATTCTTAACCAACCAAAATGTAATATCTAATAATCTCTAATATAAGTAATAGGTGACAGTCACCTAATAATCTCTTTTACAGGATTGAGTTCCCTCAGGTTAAAAATTTTTATCTAAAAATTTCTTTTTATTACTTCTAATGGGCATTTATTCTTATTTTTCGCCAAATATTTTATTTCCTATTAAAATTCCAAATTCATTCTACACTTTCATTGTATTTTATGTTCATTTAAGCACCAAACTTTGCCATATTGAAGTATTATAAGAAAAAAAATTAAATTTGTTTATATTTTTTATTTTATTTTTGCAGTACACAATTCCTTTAAATTATTCAGTTCACGCTTATATGTAAAGTTTAGCTTTGACGTCCATAAATAATTGAATTCATAATTTATTGGTTCCTTACTCTACTCTTATTCGTTTGCTCTTTGATGATCATGTTTACTTAAAAAATAAATAAAAATATCAAATCTGTTTGCTAATTTCTTAAATAAATAAATAATTCTTAAAATTTGTTTAACAGTAGCGATGATGCAATAATAAAAAATCTTTTAATAAAAATTTGTTAAAATTTTTTATTTAATTTGTTTAGCAATGAAATGGTAATTTAATGTTTCAATGAGTGATATTCCTTAAATCCTAATTAGTAGTTATTTAATTATAAACAAATTATTAATACATATTAATCGTTGTAATTTCTAATTTATTAAATTTAATCTCTATGTTTTAAATATTTTTGGCAATAGATATTTTCGCATATCTAATACTTCATATACATTAATAATTGGCAATGATAGAAACAAACGGAAATTTTAGGTCTCTTTGACCTAAAAGTTTCTATTTAGAAACAAACGCTCCTTAAAAGACGGCTCAAAGAGTTCTATAGGGAATGTTATTTGCCGAGAAATGGGAATGCATTTAGAATATCTCTTTAAAAATTATATAGATATTTTTTTATATATAGATGTTTTTTTAGGGATCTTTAAAGAATACTAAAAATGTATTATAGTAGTAAATTTTAAGTGTTATTAATTTGTCAAAAGCATAATAATTTATTTTAAATGTTGTGTTGTAAATGTGATGTTTAAAATATTTTATTTTTGAAAGAGTGATTTCATCATCATCACGGTGACTATACAGTCCATTTAAGATCTAAGCCTGTTTAACAACAGTCTTCCAATCTTCTCTGTTTTTTGCTTTTGTTTTCCAATTTCTTGTGTTCATTTCTTCGAAGTCCTGCTGCACACTGTCTTTCCATCGTTTTTTTGGTCGCCGAAAGAGTAATTTACTAATCAATATTAGTAACTTATTATATTAATATTTATATATGTTAATAATAATTAATTTTGTGTTTTTTCGCAACTGTTCGTAAACCTTCTAATAATGAATAATTAGAATTTTTAAATCATGTAGCAATTATTACAGTATACATATGCCAAATCCATTCAATAACATATAATTATGATCAGTGATATTTTGAGCTTCTAGAACACTCTTGCAAATGATTTCTTAAGGAGCTCTGTATCGAGAACACTCCGAATTAAAAATAAATTAGTTTGCCTTGTAGCTATATTTGTTTAGTGTAACATTAATCAAAACTGATATTATTGATTTACTTGATAGACCAATAAAATAGTAAAATAGTAATAAAGTACACCACTGTTATCATGTTACGTTATTTTTACATGTAGAAATTTATGTGTTCAATCATAGTTTGATTACTTGAGGATTTTAATGTCAAATCTCTCTCTTTCTCTCGCTCTCTTTCTCTCCCTCTTTCTCTTTCTATCTTTCTCTCTCCCTCCCTCCCTTTCTATCTATCTCTCCCTCTTTCTCTCTCTCTCTTTCTATCTCTCTCTCTCTCGCTCAAAATAATTATGTTAATTATTTTCAAAAAGGGTATCATGCGACTGAGACATCTTTCAATCTTCAATATAATAGTTAAGCAAGTAAATTGCTTTATAGACTTTCTCACATTAGAATATACTATTATTTAGTAGTTTAATTTCTTAAAACACAATTTCGTAAATATTCAATAACAATGTTCTTATTTAGAATTCATAATTAACCGTAATCCAACAATTAATTCAACCCTTTATTACCAAATATGTAACCTATAAACTTTCAGCAGCATTTTCCTTTATTGCCATGTTGTAAAAGCGGTTGTTAGTGTTAGGTCTTTTATTCTTATTGTTCTTTAAGACTATTTATTTCAAAGTGTTTATTCTTAATTTTTTTGTGATTCTTATTTATTTTTTAAATTTTTTTTTAAATATGTGGTTTAAGTTAAGTTAAAACTGCCAGAGAATGCGACTTAAACTAGCCCTTGTTTCCAGTATAATTCCAAATGCTGTCATTGTTAATTCATTCAGTATTTCAGATAAAGTTCGAGAGATCATCTAAGTGGACCTTGGTTATCTTTATTAGTATATTTGCTGGTGATGTTGTTTCTCTTTTGAAACCATTATATGAGCTGATTAAGTACTGTTTCTTCTTCACATTTACTTGTCCAGAACAAATTAAATAAATCGAAACACTATTACTAAACTATCTTGACACAATGCTATTCAAACAAAAACCGTTCCATTAACCATACATAATAATCATTTAAAATTATTTTGTAGTCCCAGTGTATCCCATAAATAATCATTATAATCGTATTTAAAAATGCATCAAATTCATGATTAGTAAATGTCCAACAGAATGAAACTATAATTATTTCTTAACTGCCGCCTCTTCAGGGTATAAAATTAAAAAACTCGACGAGGTTTTTATATGGATTATGTCTACTGAATATAACTCCCTTTAAATTTTCTATTAAAGGGAGCTACAAAAATATATATAAATTTCTCTTTTTTGATTGCACTTCTTCGGGAGCTATTTTTTTTCTACATTTAATTAACCTACATTCGTTATGAACATCTCATAAATAAAAACTGATAAAAAAGTGTTTTATTCTCATAGGATTCTTTTTACATATTTTTTATTATTTTTTTTTTGCCACTTTGCTCCTCAATGACTGGGGTTTCTCCCACCAACAAAGGTGGTCGTTGTACTGAAAGTGTAAAGTAGTAAAACTTTGATTACTTTTATCTATTAAAACTATCAGGTTTCATACATACAGTTTTAACCGCATTTGTAATAATTTTATTGTTGGTGTCGTTATCGATGATATCAGTGCGAGTATATGTATGTTGCCTAACTGAATGAAAGCGAAACTGCAACGTACTGCATACTGCACACAGTAACTATCATAAAACTAAAAACAAAAATAAAATAAAAATCATAGAAACGGCTTGCAATGGAAAATACCTTTTTATATGAAGTATCAATTACAGGAAATCAGATAAATACCTAGATAACGTTTCTCATGACAACGAATATAAATTCTTTACATATACCTTACATGTATATGAGTAACATATATACAATATGATAAACATACATAAATAAATATATAGCAAATACTTTAGAAGTTACAGTTGAGGTAATTCACAAGAGCTGCGTAAATAAATCAATCAGCAGAAAAAAAATTATCTGAAAATCATGATTTTCTGTAAATAAAACACATGTCGATGTTTTGTTTACAAATGAAAGCCACTGAAAAATAAAATAAAATGGTTAATAATGATTTCAGCAAAACCCAAAATAAACAATTAAAATTAGAACAAAATACTATTAATTTTTTATATACTTATATACATATACATATACATATACACAGAAATATGTAGATAGATATCCAATTAATTATTTTACAATAATCTTTGTTTATCTACTTTTAGGATTCCGGCGTGGATATAACGAATCGTGTGTTCCAAGGTTGCGGTCGTCCAATACTTGGTCGTACTAGTCGTGCAGTTAATCCTAAATTTGCTGTTAGCACAGAAGATACAAAATATGTGAAAAAACGTGCTGCAACATTAGATACACTAAATGAACAAATCGAATCAGATATTTTAGATATCGATGCTGCTCTCGATGAAGCGATAGTGCTACGTGAAAGACGTGCCGCAGAACCAGGTTCACGCGATGATAAAAATGGTGATAGCTCTACACGCAATAATGGTAACAACAACAACAACAACAACAACAATAATCGCAATCGTAATCAGAAACGTAAACAACAAAATCGTAAAAACGATAATGATGATTATTCTGGTCGCGATCCAATTTTAGATAAATTGGTGCGTGATATTCGTCAACGTGTGAAGGACTCTAAAAAATTCTGGTCAAATTTACCACACCAAATTTGTGCTAATGATGAGATTTCATCATCATCAGATGTGGATGGCATGTGTTGGAATGGACATACAATCGATAGGTTAGTACAAAGCTTTGTTTTTTTATATGAGATAAAAAATGTTAAATTAATTTTCTTTCTATTTTTAGATATATGCATTCTGTTACTACTGAACATGGTCGAAATCCTGAATTTCCTGGCAATCCAGCGAGTACACGACAAACTTCTCTAGTTGCTACACAATTATATTATTTGAAAAATGCTGTCAACCACTTGCGTAGTGCTTATACTGGGCAAGACGTTGATTGGACTGATCAAGGTTTGTCTATTGTTCACGATTTCAGTAATTTAGAGATTATACTCAAGTTCACAGAATCTTATATCAGTTTGTATTTATTGTAGAGAGCTACTCGCAGTGAGCCAATTAGGCATCTTATTTTTTTTATAGGTATTTATTTTTTTTTTAAAGAAACTTTTAGAAACTATAATATTGTTACTGTAGACAGAAAACAAAATAGCTTATATGTATTTGACAGCTATCCTGATCTATATCGTACTCGTATATATCTTACTTTTCTTTTAGAAAAGTGATAGGCTGCACAACAGAGAGAGATGATTCATATTTTCTGAGAATATTAATTGTTAACTGAAAACCCTTTTTAAGAACTGTCACCGCACTTTTTAGAATAATTCTAAACCAATTTTCTTTATTTACTTTTAATATATAAAATGGCATTCTTGCCATTTTTGCAAGCTGTCCATGAAATCTTATTATATAGAGCAATTTAATATCAAACTGCTCTAATATAAATTACCAATTTGCAGAACTAGGTTACAGAGCTAATTAAATTAAATGAAAATCAGGTTTTCTAATATTGGATTCACACAAGAGTTTGTAATATTAGCAGTTATGTTTGTAATTTTAGCTGTCAATTGTTGTTTCTTTCAGTGTAAAAAGAAAATTTTTGACAGCTAAAATTACAAACAAAACTCTCGTGTGAATCCAGTATAAGCTTATTAACTGTTGGATTGTCTGATGAATACCACACTCACATAAAATTTGAATTTTGCTGTAGTTGTACTTGCAGAAAATATGAAGCTTACAAATGGTTCTGAGAACGGCCGGATCTACGCCTCGGCGCCACTCGTCGCCAGCGACGACGAAGTGCCATTCGACACTTTCCAAAAGTACTTTACAAGCAGTTCCCAGCTGGTTACAACAGAAAAACACTGCTTATAAATAATAACTGTCGAAGTTCTGAAGAGAATAAAAAAAAAAGTACTTTAGATCTACTCTGTTTGTGCCTCGTCTGTTCTTATCAAGGTCCGTTTAATAAATCTTAATATCTTGATAAATGCTTAGAATGGTATCTCAAGCAAGAACATTAAACAAATAGCTAGGTATCTTATAAAAGACTAGTCAGCTTGATTGATACGAAGATTCACAGAATGTTCATACTAAGCTAAAATTCTGTGTAATACTACTATTTATATGAGATTACACTGTAAAAATTTAATATTAGTTTATACTCTCTCAAATGTATATAATTTTGCATTATTCTACTTTTCTATATTCAATTAACAATTCCTTGTGTCAACTTATTAATTAAATTAATTCTATTTATTTTTAGAAGATGCCTTTTATGGTAGCGGTTCAGGTTCTGGTGGTGGTAGTGATGATGAAGATGATGATGAAGGTTCTGGAATAAGCGGTAGTCCATTTACACCAAGTCATAAACCAGATCACACAGATCGCCCATCAGTGCGAGTCAATAATGTTGACGATGAGGATACAGAGGTCGATGAGGATATACATATTGGAGGTGGTGGTGGTTCTGTCATTACACACACCACTGGTGGTACTAGTGGTGCTGGGCATGAGACCAATGTAGTCGGCGAAGATGACAATAACAGTCACAATGCTGACAATGATGATGACGACGAACTTAATACTAAAACAAGTGGGAGTGCCGGTGGCAATTCGAAGCCACAACGTATGTCATTACGGCGTGCACTGTTACTGTATCTGCTGCCTTTATATATGGCATGGTTTGGTGGTATTTTTGCCGATTTGCTGTGATTTGTTATTGTTATGCTTAATTAGGAGTGTATTTGAATATTGTAGGAATGAGTTACGAAAGTGTAATCATCAATGCTATCGAAGCAATCAAAAAGATTTTATTTCTTTTGTAAATTATTAATATTGTTTTGAAATTTAATGGCATTCTTTAGTAATTCATGAACAAATGTAATTAATTTGCTATATTATCATTTTGTAGATGCAACGCTATTTTATTATAATTTAATTAATTTAAAAACTGTGCAAAATTCTACACACAAGATAAAATATACAAAAGTTTGCTATATAATATAAAGCAATATTATGTGCATTGCAATTTTAGATCCAGTTTGTACATTTTAGTATCATTTTGAGATGAAAAAAAGTATATATGTATGTAATTCAATTAATACGTGAAATCTGTATACATTGCAATTAAATTGTGTTTTATGGCAGAATATTTTATATAAAAAATATTGCAATCAATATTTTGTATCAAAAAGTAAAACCAATATATACGTAAAAAAAGTGAATTATAAATATTACTTAGTTTATATTTATAAGAATTATTTAATTAACAGTATAAGTATGTATGTATTAGTATGTGAGTGTTATCCTAAGGGAGCGTCTAAATATCTGAATATCTGAATAAATGTGTAACGTGTATACAAATAATCAGCGAATATTTATAGAATAATCAGTCTGTCTGTCTGTTTGTGATCAATATTTTTCCTAGTATTTATTTATTAGTTCTTAATTTTATTTTATTTTAATAAAATAATGTATGTAATTAGCATTTATGTAGGCATAATTAAGTACCGCGTTCATACTTTGTTTTTAATCGTAATTTATTTTACGCTATTATATTTATTAATAATATAAATGGACAAAAATATTACATTATGAATATACATATTTATATACAAGCCACAGAAAAAAAATAATACATTAAGAATTTAGTAATCGTATACCAATAAAAGAAAAACATTTGAAAAATTATATTTAAAGTAATTAAAAATAATAAAAAAATTTTTAAGAAAGTTAAGATATAAAATTTATATTGAGGATATTGTAATTTAGGAACTAAAAAATTATTTAATGAAAATGTATACTAAAGTTTATGCGATAAGCGTGCAATTAGAAATTCAAACCTAAATTAATAATATTTTATTTAAATTAATTAAACTTTTATGTTCGTTTGCTTTTTTCAGATCAATTCAATCAATTCCTCGCTCAGAATATAATCATTTTTTTCTTAATTATTATTATATTATTATTATTATAATATAATAATAATAATTAGTTTTCTTTGACTGATTTTATTTTTTCAATTATTGTTTATATGGTTTTTCTACTATGTATAATTTTTTTATAACAAGAATATATCAAAATATTACAATAGTCTGATGATTTATTAATAAAATAATTTTTATTTGCTTTTATAATTAAGCAAAACTTTAAATTGATAGGCCATTATTTTAACAAACTTATAAATAAATACATATTTAATGCTATATTAACATTTGTAATTAATTATAATTTTTATATTATTTGTTTATAAATGTTTTGTATTATAATTATCTTTGCGTGAGTACTTTTAGGTCATTATCAGAATTATAACAAATTTTTAAGATAATTTAAATTATAGAAAAGAGAAGAATGTGATTATAAAATTATTAAAAATTAAACTAAATTATATGTAAATTAATTAATAAAAAAAATGTATAGAAATATATAAATATGTTTTTAATTCTTATTCTGTTAGCATTGAATACTTCATAGTGTTTCTGAAACATTTCAAAGCAAATGAAATTCTATATTTAAAGAGAAGTCCTATAGATCGTAGATATATTATTATTTTTTGTTCTGAAGATGTAAAGCATTTTATTACAAGTGATTAATTGAATTAATCTGTCAAACCTGTTAAAGAATAGTTGTCCAACCAGAAAGTGTCATAAGGAAATCCTAAAAACTAAATAAAATATTTAAAAAAATTTAATAGAACTGCTAAACAATATACAACTCTATAAATATTTAATACATTTTCTAGAATATAATCGTCTTCTGTGTCAATGTAGCTATTTATATAATTTAACAGAATGAGTTATTTTTTAGTAGCTGAAGAGTATTTCAGGATGAATACATGTCTTTAAAATGGCCTTTACTTTCACGGAATGCTGTCCTTTCATCGATAAACACATTTTCTCGAAGAAGTAGAGGTATTCCGATACCAAATCATTCAAATTTGAGAAGTCTTTGACTTTATCGACGCCTGTAGTAGGCCTTACTACAAACATCTATATATAATATTTTATAAAAGTAAATATAGAAGTTCTTTTCATTTACGAATGTACCTTTTTAAGGAAACTTTGATTGAAATGAAAATGCAAGTGACTCTACATAAGCGTTGACAGAGAAATCAAAGAATATCGAAGTAGACAACTAGCATACACTAAAGTTTGAGTGTTTTAGGTAAGCAGATTAAGGGCTTGAACAATAACTGAAACTAGGTAACAGAGGGTATAACACACGGCGCTTCAATAGTAACGTGTGTTTGCACTACAGCGTCGAAAACAGAAGGTGGCTTGAACAATAACCTAAACTCTCCTACCCCTGAATCTTCAATTATAATACAATAAACGTAGCTTCAAAGTAATGCGTGTCTGTATTATACCGCGGGAATACATTGGTTTAGTTCTGCCTAATTCGGTTGTCGGAAGTGCCAGGTTCTTAAGAATTCGTCTTAGATGACGACTAAGTATATCCCACCTCTAAACGAACCTAAGAAAAGGTTCATTACAGGTTTGCAATGTCTCAAGACAACTGTGTGATAAAAACACAATACTAATATACAATAATGTAATTTAATTAACAATAGCTTTTGGAGACTCCTAGTGTTACCTTAATAAGATAACAAATTATGTATTCAATAACTATGCCAAAATAATAAAAACAATTGTAGTAAAAATTAAATTTTATTTAAGGAACATGACAAAATTTATATAATTTATCAACTATAATTTAAAACTTAAGAAAAAATCCACAATTTTATTTTACTCCAATATTTAGTCCGTAAATCGGCTATAGACGATCTCAAAAATCTTAATACAAATTATGTATTTAATATTTGCATTTTGGGCTCCAATTTTAATTTCACATCTCTTTCTGTTTAGTTTCTTAAAAATATAGGCAATAAGTTTAAAAAAGAAAAATGTGGCTTCAATCATAAATATTTCAAACATAATTAATATATTTGTGTATAACTTTTTTATATATGTATAAAATAAATATAATTATTTTTAGATAATTTTTCCAGAAAATTCATTCATTATTTTTACATATCGTATAGTAGTGAGAGAATTAAAGGATTACAATTTTCTTTATAATACATTGTTTTATTTTACCTGTCGATAAAAATGATAATAATATTAATAGAATCTAAATGCATTGTTAAAAAATTATCTATTCAGAAATTAATTTATAAATAAAAAATTATTGTTTCATGATTGTTTTATTGATTTAAGAATTTTTTATAAAATGTGTTCTATATTTGCCTAGCGTATTTATCCAGTTGGTTTTTTTCTATGGACTACATATCAAATTTTTTTTATAATTTATTTTATACACATTTTGTTATATATATATTTTAATTGTGAATTTACCAACATTTGTAATAAACTGTATTTTTTTAAATAAACAAATAATTAATTTATTTACAAATATATTTACATGTGTAGAAACTCAACACAGAACAACTTATGTTTCCACTATAACAGGACGAGTTTTGGCATAAACAAAAGCCGCAATGAGCAAAGCTATAACACCCAGTGTCGGCAGAACCACAGTTTTCATTTTACTTTGTATTGCTAAGTTTTCCAGTTTCCTCTCCTTCTTTTCCTTACGAGTTTCTTTGACTTTACCTTTAAGTTGACGCATTTTTTATTAAATTTTATTAATTATTATTGTTTAATCAATTATTGAAGTAAATAAAGTAATGTTTTAAAAGTAAACAAATAATGTCATTGAGCAACAGCCTGTTGATTCTATTATTGGGAATATGTACTAAAAATTGTAACTTTTGACGTGTACATATTCAAAATGCTAAGAGCCAATAGAGCTGCCAGATTGTACCAATGGGAAATTTTCAAATTATTTGTGTTAACAAATTATGCGGTAATAAATATTTAAAAAATATTATTGAATTAATATGTTTGCTTTAATACATATATGCATTGCCAAAGTATTTTTATTTACGATAAAAATGTGTAAAAAAGATCTTTTATATGAGAGAAAAACAAGAATATTTACGTTATTCCGTTTATGCTATGAAAAATCTCCTCTTGCTGATTATGTATAAAGCATTATATTCTGCAATACTGAATAAACGTATCTGAAAATAAAATATACCAAATCTAAAAAAATATATAACAGATTTATTTGTAAACCAAATACTACAGTATATTTACATCTTCCCAGCTAACTATTTTCACTATTGACTAACTAATTGTTAATCAATTAATTGAATTTACAATACAAAAATGTTCAACATAATTTAGACAAAACTACAAATTATTAAAAATTATATAAATTGTTACAAACTTAATTTTCTTTTCTTTTTAAAAAAGATCAAAGCCAACTCTATTATACGAGATTAAAATATGGTATATTTTAAAATAGTTTTCCTAGTTTTATAAAAATTCAAACCTCTTATGATAATGTGCAACAGTTTTGTATAATAAACAACCGAGTTACAAAAAGCTGTAGCATGTAAAGATTTAAACAATTTCTTTGACATTAAACATATTCCAGCAACACAGTTAAGATATAGGACGTAAATTATACGTCCTATATGTTCACATAGGACGTGTTACGTTGACGCATAGTAATATAATACTGGATTCACACGAGAGTTTTGTTTGTAATTTTAGCTTTCAAAAACTTTCTTTTCGCATTGAAAGCAATAACAATTGACAGCTAAAATTACAAACAACTTAAGTCACATACAAAATTCTCGTGTGAATTCAGTATAAGGTTAAATTAGAATATAGAAGGTTAATTTACACAATATGATTTCAATTATAAAATGCTACCACGAAAAATTCCAATGTGATACGTGTTTAAATGTTAATAAATACAATTAGAAATATAAATTATATAATGTAATATATTATAACATTAATATAATGATAGTATAATTATATTAGATAAATTATAAGTATAATATAATATAACTGGTTACAACCAAAAATATATAAAAAGACGCTGAGGGTATCTTAGTTTTAACTTTGTTTTTCGAAAAGATTATCGGAGCTTAGATATTATACAAAAGTAATAATACTAGAAATTGTGGAAAATGGTAATTATTAATTTATATAAGAAGTTCTTATTAAGAACTATAAATATATTAATAATAAATTTAGTTTTTTATAGTAGTCTAATGAATTGTTTCGTTTCTTTAACATTTTGTATTTTATTGTTTGATGAGATAATAGTATTGATTAATTTTATTGTATTGAAATTTTTACTCTTTTATTTTTGTTTTATTATATATTGTTTCGATGATTTTTTGCCAATATCTTCACTCGTATCTGAAATTTTGTGTTATTACATTCATATCGTAAGGAAAGTTTCAAAAAATAGTAAAACCATATCTTAATAAAATTAAAAATGACTCCATATTATATGATACCATACAAAAATAATATAGAAATACCTATTGCTTCTTTATCCGTTGTGCAATATGCTCTTGAATTTTTTATTTTTAAAATGATAGTGCCAAAATATCCGTTTATTACCATAAGCATTTCTACCAGTGAATTTAGCAAGACTATCATTTACTCTAAAAGTAATTGAGTAGAAAAATCATCAATATAATATAACTTAATACCGTTACATATACTACAGTTAATTACCCATTAATTATAAATTTTTACGGATGGTTACAGATTCTTATACATATTGTATGTATATATGTTAAAATTTTTTAAAAATAATTTTTTAATAAATTTTTACTAATATTCAATTTTGTAATTTAGAAAGACATTTACAAAATATGCAAATTTGAACTTAATATAATTATAATCATAGGTCATTGTTATTTCGGTTTTTCAATTGAAGAAGCAAAGATATTAGTACTTCCGTTTATGTGTGTATAATTTTACAAACTTAATTTGCTGCATGTGCTTTAAGTAATAGGAACACACACTAGCCATCTTAATCTATTTTTATTTTGTTTATTTTTTAAATAAACAAATTAAAAATAAATAAAGACATAATATTAATATATATAGACTGTGATTTCTAACAACTACTTTTAATATTGACATATCCATTACATATACTCCATCTAAACTAATTTTTTTAATAACATTATTTTGTTTACATATTATTATGTTGAGGCTAGTTGAGTCAGTACACTTGGACACTTACTCCCTATTAACTGCGAGGTTTCTTCATAACCCCTCTCTACGCCCTGACTGGATTATTAATTATTACTTCATCACACTGTAATGGTTACATATATATGGAACCTGTAATGTTTACATATTAAAATATTTTAATATTAAATATTAATATTAAAATATTCCATACAAAATTAATTTACCATTTCATCACTTATCAAAAAGTTACATAACAAAATAAAAATATTTATTGTTATAACTCATGATTTATTTATTAAAATATGTGTTCCTGCATACTCAATCCATGCGTACTGTCTTATGCTGACTTAATATATCCTAACTAATAGTAATTTTAGTATGTTTTCGTAATTAAAAAATTTAGTAACATTCATTTCGCTTTATCCATTAAATCCTTGGCTTCATTTATTTTAGCTGCCAAGTATGGAGAACCACCACGATCTGGATGATTGAGCAACATAATTCTTTTATGAGCATCCTTTATCTACATATTATGCAAAATATATAGTTAGTGCGATTTTATTTTATTTAGTTGATTTTACCTTTAGTTTAGGAGCCGATGGACTAACGCCTAATATAAGAGATGCCTCACGCTTGTTCATTTTTGGATCGAAACCGCCTTTATAATATTTAGAATTCGCAAAACCTCCTTCAAAGTTTTGTAGGCTTTTAACAGCTTCAGTTAACTTGGTAGTCATACCAGGCACACGGCGTAATATATGTTTTCCAGCAAAACCAATGGCAGCGGCACCAAGACCTGCGAGGATGATTGAACTCGCCTAAAAGTAAAAAATTCGTGAAATTAAACAAATATTTTTAGCAGTGCATTTATTAATCGCGCAAAAATACCATGATTTATATAATTTGTTAAATGATTTTAATTTCACAGCCAAAACAAAACGCGTTCTTGTCAAAGACAGCTGTTCATATTACTAAAGAGAATGTGCCGAATAAATACAATGCTGCCATCTACAGCCAAAACATTTTAGGAACAAACAATTTTAGTATTATTAAAAACAATTTTTTCCTAAAATATTTTAAATGACATTATAAAATTTTGAATAATAAATTTTTCAATAAATTTACAATAATACTATATGTAAAATTTGTAATTATAACAAAAATTTATTAACAAATTTGTTTTAATTAAAATTTGTGAAACGCCCTGTTTTAATTTTTTTATTTACTTTATTTTGTATTAATGCTCTTTGCATGAGATGTTTAATTTTGTTCATCGCAGAAAGCAGCAGATTACTCTTGGTTTATAAAATTAACAAAGAAAAAGTTGCCGAAAATGTTAAGGTTATTTATAATAGTGTTGATACAGTAATTTAAAATTTCAATCTTTGTAACTATTTTTTTTTTTTGAAGAACAAATATTACAAATTCATATAATAATATTCTACTTGGATTATTTTGTTGTATTTAATAAAATGAAAACTTGCAGTGAATAAAACATTTAAAAGTAATTATATGAGCAGGTAAAAAATATTTTTCTTAAGAACTTTTACTTTTAAAATTATTTTTGAATGCTTCTCCAAATGTCATTCGTTTTTGCAAATTTATTTACGAAAATACACAAAACACAATTGCAAATATATTTTTGTTTATTATACGTTTTGCCAAATCTAAGGTATGTAAAATAAGGTAAACTATAACTGCAATTACTGCAAGCAACTCAAGCGTAAAGTGCGAAGAGTACAAGTATATATTAGTTGTGATAGTGCTGCCAATTTTTGACTTGACAGCTGTATTCCAATATAAAACAATAACAAAAA